TTCATTCATTCATCCATCCATCGCTCCCGTGAGCCAAAGTGTTGCCTTAATGGCTTTACCAAGGACTACAAAAGGGAGCTCTGGGACCAAAAGCACTCAGAGCTCTCCAAAAGCCTGCCTTCTCCTTTGGCAGGGAGACTGAAGGGGAAATGGGGGAACTTCCTGCCGCCAAAAGTAGAGCAAAGGGAGCTCCCCACTCATCCCTGCTGTCTCCTCATCCTTCCAAGGGAGAATGAAAGGCCCAAGGACACCTACCAAGCTTCGTGGAAGATTCGAACTCGGCTCTCCCAGATCTTGCTCCAGAACGCTTGCCATTGCACTGTGCTGCTGCTGGTGATCTCTAGTGTGTTGAAGCCCATTCATTCATTCATCCATCCATCCCCCACATTCCTCCCCAAATGGCTTACGCATCACTCTCCTCTCCTCCATTTTATCCTCACAACAACCCTGTGAGGTAGGTCAGGCTGAGAGAGTGTGACTGGCCCAAAGTCACCCAGCGAGCTTCCTTGGCACAAGCAGGGATTCGAACCTGGGTCTTCCAGATACTAGTCCGGCGTTCTTAACCACTACACCACACTGGCTCTCAGTGTGAGGCACGATCTAGCCGCTGCTGGACATTTTTACAACCCACTGATCTCAAGAAGAATGTAAACGGTCAGGTCACTCTGCCTGTGAAGCCAATTGCACTTAAAAAGGCTTTGGCTGGATCATGCCCTTAGCGGGTGGTTTCTAGCAAAGAGACTCACCCAGTCAAGATCCAGCCAAAGGAGCCCCGCCTACCCCTCTCAGGTCTCCAAATGGCTGAGGAGGCCATTTTACTAGGGTTGCCAGCAATGCTCCCTCTAAGCTGTGGAAACTTGTGAGCAAAAATTCTGCTTTGTGAGGTACTGGCATTAAAGTTGTGAGCAAGCAATTTGGCTGAGCTAAGACAACACTCTGTGAGCTGGAGGCTAAACAACTGTGAGCTAGCTCACACTAACTCAGCTTAGAGGGAACACTGGTTGCCAGCCTCCAGGTGGGGCCTGGGGATCTCCCACTGTTACAACTGATCTCCAGCTGACACCCTGGAGAAAATGGCTGCTTTGAGGGGTGGACTCTTATGACATCGTACCATGCTGAGGCCCCTCCCCTCCCCAACCCGCCTCCATCTCCCAGATCCACCCCTAAAGTCTCCAGGTATTTTCCAACCCAGAGCTGGCAACTCTAAATTTTACCAACTTTGGCTTTTGCACAGTCATGAGATTCAAGCCCTCTTTCCTGCAAGAGGCCCAGTGAAAGCTTTTAAAGTGGAATTACGGTCTCAAAAATTGGATGGGGAAGCATGAGGCATCCTGTTATGGGACGCAGGCCGTGTGAATCACATTAGCCAAAGAGCTTTGCGGCAGGAGCCGGAAGTATCGATTAATCCGTTCCAAGGCTCAAATTTTAGCTGATCCTTCTTAGGGCATGCTGAGGCAGCCTGGAGACCTCCGGAGAAAACAAACACACGGGGGGGGGGGGTGTCTCTGGGCCTTAACAGGGATCAGCTGAGGTTTGAAACCTACTTGCTTCCCCTCCAGGATCACGAAACCGTGGGGAAAATCGGGCAAAGCCGCGGGTCAAAATGCGGCCACGTGGCTTCGAGTGGGAAATTGACCAACAAAAGCGGGGCAAAGGGAGGCACGACCGCACGACCGCAGCGCAGCTCTTGTGTGAAATCGGTCTGGGTGGGGGACTGAGTCACCGAAGGGATATCTGCATGCTTACCCATTGCCATGGGGGGCTTGCAAAGGCAGGGACCCACCCAGGTCTACCAGTGTCATTTCATCAGCAAAGGCAAACCCTCCTGAGTGCAAAATCTGATTCCTATCAAGCAGCCAGGTGGGCTTGAATACCTTTTACTGACCCTGCCGGATGGATCCGATCAGCCTTCCTCAGGCATGGGTGAAGCCTCTACCCTGCCAGCTCTTTGGTCCACCCTGTTGGGATGCAATAACCATTTGGTGGTCTTCTGGAAAGCCCCCCCCCCCATTAAGTCAGAGCCAAGAAATCAGGAGGAGGAGGAGGAAGAGGAGGAGATTGGATTTCTACCCTGCCCTTCACTACCTGAAGGCTTACAGTCTCCTTTCCCTTCCCCACCACAGACACCCTGTGAGGTAGGTCGGACTGAGAGAGCTCTTTCTAGGACTGCTCTTGAGAGAACAGCTCTGAGAGAACTTGTGACTGACCCAAGGTCAGACAAGCAGCTGCACGTGAAGAAGTGAGGAATCACCTGGTTCTCCCAGATTAGAGTCTGCACTCCTAACCACTACTAGATTCTCATCCTGAAACTCGCCCTGAATTCCTGGACTTTACAATTAATGTCTTTGATTCAGGTGGGTAGCCATGTTGGTCTGAAGCAACTGGGCAAAGTTTGAGTCCAGTGGCACCTTTCTATAAGTTTTCAAGTGCATGCACACTTCTTCAGATATGTTCTTCTGATATCTGAAGAAGTGTGCGTGCACACAAACGTTTATACCTTGAATAAAACTTTGTTGGTCTTAAAGGTGCCCCCTGGAATCAAACTTTGTTCAAGTGTTTCTTTGGTCTTCCTTTGTGCTGGCTCCAATAACTATTGCTGCTGATTTGCCAGCCAGAATTGTGTCATCACATCCTCTCTGCCTATACAGAGACTGCCAAATCCTCTTTTCAGTCTCTGGGACTTTGGGACATTTCCTTGCCACCCAAGAGGTCCGCAGCACTTGTTCAGAAGAAGGAACGTTGAAACAACACAGGACATTCCGGAGCACGTCGTTAACATCATTTGCTTCGTTAAAAACCACTTCTGTTTATTTGAAACTGACTGTATTTGTGTAAAAAAAGCATATCACTTTAATTTATTTATTTTCTGATATTTGCAGGGCTGTATTATTTCGTTTAGCACACTTATCACAGTAATAATCCTTGTGTAGTGTAATCTCCAGGTGGTAGCTGGCATCTCCCGGGATTACAACTGGTGCCCAAGCAACAGAGATCAGTTCACCTGGAGAAACTGGCCACCTTGGAAGGCAGGCTCTATGGGATTATACGCAACTGAAGCCCCTCCCTTCCCCAAACCCTGCTTTTCTCAGGCTCCACCCCCAAAGTCTCCAGGTGTTTCCCAACCCAGAGCTGGCAACCCTATCTCAGCCTCTGGATCATCCAAACACCCAGTATATCCTCAGCTCAGCAGACTGAGGATAGGGAAACTCCTCTTCTTGTTGATTCCTTTTCTCTTAACAACTCTCCTTTACCCTTACTTAAACCCCCCTCCTCCTGGTGACCATCCCCCAGGGCAGAGTTCTCACTCAGCCAGCAGCTGGGTTCCCTTTCGCTTCTTTCTCTCCTCTCATGTAACTCTCCATATGCCCCTCTTTCCAAACACGACAGTTCCACCGCTCTTATGCCCCAGCACCTTTTCAAATCCTGTTCCCCTCTCGTTCCCTCAGTTCTCAGCCTTCCTTTGGAAAAGATCTGGTTATTTCCAATGCTCCCTCTAAGCTGTGGAGTCTCGTGAGCAAAAAATTCTACTTTGTGAGCTACTGGCATTAGAGATGTGAGCGAGCAATTTGGCTACTGCATCAATTAGTTTGCTCTGGAGCCGTCCCTTCCTGAGCTAAGGCAAAAATGTGTGAGGCTAAAAAACTGTGAGCTAGCTCACGCAAAGTCAGCTTAGAGGGAACACTGGTTGTTTCTTGGTTACTGGTCGCCTGTCAGAAGCCCTTGCAGAAGCCCTTGGAGCTGGCTTGCATCCTATCTAGCTAAAGAGCCTTAAACCTCACATTTTGCTCCCCTTCACTAGTCGGCAAGGGTGTCAGTTTTCCAAGACCAGGCTGTGGAGAAGTGGGAAGAAGCCTCCCCCTCCCGACACTGAGTTTCCATGGCTGTGGTTCTGGGTGAGTGTCCCGAACCCAAGTTAAGAGTCCACAAGTGTCTAAGGATACATGGGAAAGGGAGCACAAGTGGTAACAACCTTCAGTGCGGTTTCGGCACAGAAAAGAGCTGGGGAAGGAAGGAGCCATTTCCGAAAAGAGCTGGGCGGGGGGAGGAAGCAGCATTTCCTGTAGAGGCACTTTGAGCTCAAAAGAGCTGTGCTTGCTTTTTAAATAGCCGTTCCCCTGGTTGCTTTGAGGCTGCTTGAAGACCCCGACGGGCCCCTGCTTTCCAGAGGTGCCCCTAGGCCCTGTACAGACAGGCCTTAAACCCCCCCAGGCCATTTTCTTGCCCTCAAGCAATCCCGGGGAGTTGCTACTCACCTTACATGTAGCTATCTATTGACACTGAATTTCTCCAAGGGGGCAAATAGTGACTCTCCTGTGGCTATTAAAAGGGGGGGGGGAGGGCAGGGGAAGGTTTAAGGCCTGGTTTTGGGAGAAAAGGGGTGAGTTGGAGCTCCAGATTTCCGCCTCGGGAGTCCAGCCCTACCTGGGCCTTCTCACACATAATAGTTTTAGATTTATCCTTAAGGGTTATTTTTTTAAAAGTGCACACCCATAAGCTTAAGTCTAGTGGCACCGTAAGCACGAACGAAATACATACGGGGCGCACATTTTATGTAACGGTTGAATGAGACACACCCGGTTGGGAAACGTGTCTCATGCCCGTTAATCGATTAGAAAAGCTCCCGAATGAAAACAGAAAGTTGGTTCCGAGTACTCGAGCGGCAGCTACAGACACGCCTTTGGCAGATCCCTCCACAAAGCCTGCGAAGGCAGACAGCACGTTTCGTGCCTCCGTCCCCTCTCCCTTTTTTTTTTTAAATGAATGACCCCCAGCCAGCTCCGTCGCGTTCTTTTTCCTCTTTTTTTTTTTATGAATGAAGGCGAGCAGAAGCGCCGGGCCGCCCTGTTTACATTTCTCCCCTTGTGACGTCAGCGGCGCGTTCCATTCCCCCATTCACGGGCAGAGAAGTCAAGAATGGAGGCCGGCGGCGAGGGGGGGAGGCGGAGGCGAGCAGGCCGCCCAGAGCGAGAGGTGGGCGGAGCCGGGTAGTAAAGCGGCTCCTCCTCGGCTCGGAACGCGCCGGGGCAGCGGCGGTCTCCTCATTCATGAGTGTGGCGAAGCAGCCGGCGCAGCGTCCCAGCCCCGGCCGAGTCTACGCGCTAAGCCCCGGCCGAGTCTACGCGGCGCCCATGGCGGAGGTGCGGGAGATGGACTGCAGCGTGCTCCAGCGCCTGCTGCCCCTGCGGGACGACTGCGGCGCGGCCGGGGGTGGCGGCGGCAAGTGCCTCCTCCTGGACTGCAGGCCTTTCCTGGCTCACAGCGCCGGCTACATCCGCGGGGCGCTCAACGTGCGCTGCAACACCATCGTCCGGCGGCGGGCCAAGGGCTCGGTCAGCCTGGAGCAGATCCTGCCGGCCGAGGACGAGGTGCGCGCCCGCCTCCGCTCCGGCCTCTACGCCGCCGTGGTGGTGTACGACGAGCGGAGCGCCCGGGCGGAAGGCCTGCGGGAGGACAGCACCGTGGCGCTGGTGGTGCGGGCGCTGCGCCGGGATGCCGAGCACGCCGACATCTGCCTGCTGAAAGGTGAGGGCGGGCGCCCCGCGCGGAGGGGTGGGGGGTGGGAGCGGGGGGACCTGGCCGGCTTTCAGCCGCATGGGGAACACCCCGCTCCTGGAGCCTATTTGGGGTGCCTTTGGGGCCAAACCACAAACTCTCTCCCACCCCCCAATGCAATTAAAGCCAAAGACTGGCTGGCTTTTGGATCCTCCGCGGGGCGCAGGACTTCAAATTCGCCCGGTTAGGCGTCCGAGCTGATTTCTGTCCCCCTGCTGGAATCGTGGCCCGGGACACCTCGGGTGCTTCTGCCCACGTGCTCGCCTGGCACAGCGAGGGGGTCGCGGCTATCGTGGGCTCCGACCCCCTCTCTCTGGAAGGAGGTGAGGGGGACCCCCTTCTTCGTGGTGCTCATATAGAATCGAGGGGGGGGATCTCTTCCAGGCTGTAGGCAGCGCCGAGCACGTTGCTAGAGCCACGCGTCGTTACTTAATACAGAATCTTTCGCTTCCCCCTTGGCTACCTCTGCTCCCGGGCATGCGCTTTGGCTTGCTTTTTACAATTCCCTTTAAAAAAAAAATAGGTTGCCTTGAGGTGGGAGACCGGCAAGGTTGGCAACATCCAGGCGGGGCCTGGAGATCTCCCGGTATTATAACTGATCTCCAGGCGACAGCGATCAGTTCCCCTGGAGAAAATGGCAGCTGTGGAGAGTGAGTGGACTCTCTGGCACTGAGTGCTGTTGAGGTCCCTCCCCAGACTCTATCCCAAAAATCTTCAGGTATTTCTCCACCCGGAGCTGGCAGCCTTAGAGATTGGGGGGGGGCGCTACGTTGATGCCCCCCCCCAGTATTTTATTGCGGGACTTCCCTATTGTCCTTTAAACTATTACTCCTTGCGTTGATTGTACTGGGGAGGGGGGATCCATTGATGCGGGGCTTCTCCCTCCTCCTCCTCCCAGTCACCCGCGTTCTCCTTTGGCACCCTCCCTTGACTTCCGCCCTAGCCAGGGATCCGGGGGGGAGCAGCTTTTGATGGGCCCGCCCGGCCCTTTAGAACAGTGGGCTGCCTTGTATCCGGTAGCTGTTTCCTGCCCATCTGACCTATCAGCTGTTAGGAGGGGAAGTGAGAGGGAGGAAGAGAGGGCCAGGCTGCGGGTGACCTTTTGAACTGCGAACCGGGTGGGTGGAGGAGGGAGGGGATCCTCTTGGATTGTTCCGAGCGCCGGAGCTCCACGCCCCACACATTCTTGAGGGGTGCATCGGGGGAGGGGGCGGGAAATCCCTCCCTGCTGCCAACTCCCTGGGGCCGGTGTCCTTGGGCAGGAGGTGAATACTGACTTCCAGGGGAAACTGGCTTGCGGCACCGAACTGTAGCAAATGTGGCCCGAAAAAGAGAAGAGGAGAGCCCTGTAGGCCCCTTCGAGAGGAAGACATTTATTGGAGCGCGCTGGTGGTTCTGTTCCTCTCCAAGGGGCCACAGGTCTCTCCTCCCTGCCTGAGCCCTTCTTCTCTCATTTGGGCCACATCTGCTACAGGTCAGTGCCACAGGCCAGTTCCCCACCCCCAGGTGTGGATAGTCACCTCCTTCCCAAGGACACCGGCCCCAGGGAGTTGGCGGGCCTTCACCTTTAAGGGGCCGGGGCACTCTTTATTTTTGCTACCCAGAGCTGAAAGCCGGTTACCCCTCTAGTCTGAGTCAGGGTTTCTTTCGTGTTCTTTCTTAGCCTTTTAGGAGTTGCGAGGGAGGTCTGACACCCTCGGAGGGTGTGCTTCCTGCTTTGGGGGCGAGTGATCTTTGCTGTACTGCATATTTATGAATGCATTTATTATATTTTGTGAGTCTGTATAGCTGCCTTTAGGGGCCTTTGTGAGCAACTGCTTTTAAACAGGGTGCCACGTTTGAATCGTGTGTGGGGGGGACCGAAGCTTCTTCACATTGTTGATCTGCATGGAGCCTCCGGTGAGAGTGGTCTCTGACCCCCCTCCAGCTTGAATAGGTTGGGGCTCCCTGTTGGTTTGTGCAGCTGAGCCAGAGGCAAGCCGAGAAGTCTAGTTTACATTGCGATTTCCGAAGTAGGGCTACTTCGGTTTCAGCCCATTGAAATCAATGGAGTCACTCTGCCTGGGGTTACGTGGTTAGCAGCTGAGGTTAGTCGTTGAAGTTACTGAGGGTTCAAACCTACCAGTGGCTTATGCTCTGGCACATAATTTGGGCCCCACTCACCCAAACATTTGTATATTGCGGGTTTCTTGAACCGTTTCTCTTTAAAGTAAAGAGGCCAAGTTTTTGGGTGGGATCCACCAAGGCCGTGTGTGAGATATGGGCCCTCAAGTCTCTTCTGAGTTCTGATGCCCTGCCAGATGTCCTTATCGTTAACAGCCTTGCGAACTGAGGCCGGTGCCTTCCTTGAATGAGTCAGGCCATCTCATGTTGGGTCTTCCTCTTTTTCTGCTGCCTTCAATTTGTTTGTTGCCTTCTAGGGAGAATTCAGCCTTGGTTTGATCTAGAACCCACTTATTTATTTTTTCACTTTCTTGTTTATACCCTGGCCTTTTTATCTCCTCACAACAACCGTGTGAGGTAGGTGAGGCTGAGAGAGTGTGACTGGCCCAAGGTCACCCAGTGAGCTTCCATGGTGTGAGTGTGGATTTGAACCTGGGTTTCCCAGATCCTAGTCGGACAGGCTGAACCACTACACCTCACACATTTCGCTATTCAGTGGTCCGTGGCATCTGTAAAGGCCGTGACATCAGTAATTCCCAAGCCTTTTCATATGGAGAACCGCAGTTCTCTTTTCTTTCTTCTTTTGTTAAAATTCTTTCCTTCTCCCTTGAAGATGCTCAAAAGGATTCTGAATTAAAACCAGACTTTCCCCGTTTGCCTTTTATGGCTGCCAAATGATGCAGGGAAATCTATTATAGATGGGGGGGAGGGAGATAGGAGCACGCACCTATCCACAAACGGGGGGGGGCACTTCCCTTGTGTTTCCCCTGCATCATTGTACTGCCTAAGAGGCAAGCTGAACAGTGGGTTTGCCTCTTCAGCAGGTAGCAGAAAAGGCACTTACCAGAAAAGACTCAGGGTGCTGGGAACTCCCTGTGTGGTCTTGGGGCTAGCAGGAAGAGTAGCCGTGATTGTACAGCCTCCCCCCCCCCCATCAGTTCTTCTGTCTTCATCTGCCACGCTTGTCGCTGAGGGCCTTTGAATGGTCTCCTGGGTTATTGCTCTGCTGAGGTGTGGAACGACTTGTTCTCTCTGCCCTTTATCAAATGGAGCCACCTTGCATGCGCCATGTGCCTGCGTCTCCTGGGAAGTGATGCAACGTCCCCCCCGGGGGGGGGGCTGTCAGCAGCAACTCTAGAGCAGCCCGAAGTAACATTTTCAGCTTGCTTCTGGCT